AATTACTGTTTTGGGATCTACGGCCGCTGCTTTCTTGCTGTTGGGGATATTCTTTGGGCTTATTAACACTTTTGACTTAGGAATTTTGCGCCACACCGCCCCGCACTTCTTCAACATCTCAACTTCCAAAAGTGGTCCGACACGGAGGTGTTTTGTACATTTTGACTTCGAAACGTGCTTCGCGCCACAACGGTGTACACTTTTCAACATCCGAATCTGACGTGTTTTGTATATTTTGACTTCGAAACGTGCTTCGCGCCACAAGGGCGTGCAATTTTTCAGCTCTCATCCGGGCATATGGCTCCGCACCCGCCGCTTTAGCGAGCCTAGTTTGCGACCCTCCGGAGCCACAAATCATTGGAAAAAACAGTGATTCGCGACTTTTCTATCTTTTCGCGCGCCTGCATGTTCTGTCTTCTGACTCTTCTCTGACTCTTCCCACCTCTGCTTTTGCATCTGTCCATATTGTCGGAAGTTTGACTTCTAAACTTCCTTTGATAAGATCATCAATGGCACAGCCAGGGGGGTGTGAGCCTTGCCATTGCCAAGATCTCCGGTTGATTCAGGTGGATATGCCAATCGTCAGCACGAACTTGACCAGGAGATCGCAGAGGACTTTGTAGGGTCCCACATGTGCCACCCATGGTTTCTTTAAGTTTCTTTCAATCGGTTCCAAATTCCAGTGTGTTTTCATGGCTTCTCCTTCAAACGTGGGAACATTGGGGGCGTTACGGAAAAACCTTGGGACTTCCGATGTCATCCCTGGCCAAGGATGTGATGCAGACCTCCTTCTTCGCAGCCCTCAAGGCATCAAGAGGTCTGTTGCTCATCCTGGATGAGGATGCTACGCCTTTCTCCAGGAACAGAACTTCCTTCACCCCTGCATTGCCATGCATGTCATATGAAAACTGTTAGTACCTTTGAGATTGTATGGCATGGTGAAAGATTGTATGAGATTGTAAAAATTTTTTTGTGTGTTTCCTAAATATTGTAACAGTCAGTAAAAGGGTTCCTTACTAAACGCTCTCCCAAAAAGGAGCACCATAAAATCAAGTTATTTTTCTTCAAGGATTGTTGGGCCTGGGGACATGTTCAATTTCTTGGCTTAAGAATTATTTCAAGGTGGGACCATGGTTCAAAAATTGGGAAACAAAACCCGTCCATTCTGCCCAGTGTACATCAGATCAGGAGAAAGAGGACATGGGAATCACTTCTCAAAGGAATCACAACCATATCAAGTATCAAACATGAATCATACACTATCCAAACGTCCCATCAACTTCATCTACTAGTTTGCCAGGTTTGCTGCTGTGCTAGAGCAAGAATAACATTATATATATATTATATATATATATTGTATTGCTGTTTTTTTTCTCGGTTTGTCGTGCACCACATTGTGCTCCAATGCGTGTTTTTTTTTTTCGCGGCTTGTCGTGCACCAAATCGTGCTCCAATGCGTGTTTTTTTTCACGGTCTGTCGTGCACCAAATCGCGCTCCAATGCGTCCTTTTTTCGCGGTGTCTCGTGCACCAAACCGTGCTCCAATGCGTGTTTTTTTTCGCGGTTTGTCGTGCACCAAATCGTGCTCCAATGCGTTTGTTTTTTTTTTCCGGGTTTTGTCGTGCACCAAATCGTGCTCCAATGCGTGTTTTTTTTTCTTCCGGGTTTTGTCGTGCGCCAAATCGTGCTCCAATGCCTTTTTTTTTCCGGGTTTGTCGTGCGCCAAATCGTGCTGTATGGTCTCAATTATGTTGAAAGTCCGTGCTCTTGTTATTATTTTAGTCGTGCTCTGAAAGTGAAAAAATGCGGTAAAACCAAAAACTGGCGGTTTTGTATTGGTTTCCTCTTGGGTGCTTCGGCCAGGATCTGGCCGGAGCAAAGCCAGCCTCCAAAACCTAGAAAAATATTGAATACTGATGAATAGTGTATATATAATTCTAGATCCAATCACAAAACATATCATATTGGCACATAGGAAATTTAGGTACTTGATTTTGGTTATTTTTATCGTGCTCCAGTGCCGCTGTTACAATATTTAGGCCATACACAAAAAATTGTATAAATTTGCATAAAACATCACAAAAATGTATAAAATCGTATGAATATGTGAGTATGTAAGAAACCATGTCTAAGTTATGTTTTCAAACAACGTCCTGAAATCACCAGGATTTGGTGCGATTACGAGGTCTATTCGGCCGTCATGAACCCCAACATGGAGCTGGATCTCGTAATAAGCCTCAACATGCATGGACGACAGGAAGCCAAGATCATCACCAGAAATTTGGTTCCAGGGGAGTCGGCTGTGGCAAAACTTGCCAGGGAACAAGATTTCCCCATTTTTCTGCTGGATCGAGGGCTGCAAGTCTGTTTGGAGAAAGGCCAGGAGTTTGGGCAGTTTCGGGGAGACGGTTTTGTATGCTTTTGCTGAAATTCTTGGTATTTCGCAATGCAACTGATGGTTCTTGATCTCCAAATACTTTGATTGCGTGTTCAAAAGTGAAGCGCTCCCACTTTGCAATGATTTAGCAGTGCCAAGAGTGTAGTGAAGTGCCAAGGGTGCGTTGAAGTCGCTCTGTCCAGGCAACTCGACCATGGAGCGTGACAAGATCAGCATCTTCCAAGCCATTGCCCAGAGCAAAGAGCTGGAGTCAGCGAGAGGGAAAGAACAATTGCAACGGAATTTAGCTCGTGCGAATCAGACTTTGCATTCGACTCTGGCAATCCTGGCATGGCCCCAAGCCATGAACAAGAATTTGTTGCCGAAGAATGCCAAAGGTTTACATGCGGGCAAGTTGAACGTCTGTGATGCTTTATTGAACGACACTTTCCGAGAATCCTTGGATCTCAGTTTGGCACACTACGACGAGTCGTGCGCAGATTCTGCAGTGAAAGCACTGGCGGAGTCTTTGCCACCGTGCTTGGTGAATTTGAAGCTGAGCTTCGAAGGTTGTGTTCGGCTCACAGATGTATCTCTCCAAGCATTGGCCGCACGAATTGGCCAGATGAAGCTGCAAAAACTACATCTCGACTTCATTGGTTGCAAGAACCTGAGTGATGCAGGCGGGACTCAGGGTCCGAGGTTTTGGAGGTCGGACAGTCGATCTCGACTGTCAGTCCAGTGGAAGGATGCCAACCTCAACGCTGTTATGAGCTTTGTGAATTTTGTGACTTGAATGTGTTTGCTGTGTATGCGTATGTCATATAATTCAAATTAATACAATATACTGATTGATATTGAATTGTTGGGGTTGGGGCGCTCATTCAAACACTTCGAAACGCCTCAAAGGCACATACTTCCATTTGAGTGGGTTACATGCTGTTCAACAACTGTTTACGAAGCACATCGAAGCATTTTGGGTTCATCGCAGGGCTTCGCTTGTTGGCCGCTGCGCTTCAGAAGTCGACCCTCGTTGAGTTGGAGCTTCACTTGGCTGGCTGCGTTCGAGTTCACAGCCAAGGTATTTCTCAACTGCGGGAGAACTTACCTGCGTCCCTTCGCAGCTTCAAAGGAAGCTTCAAGGGAACCGAAGTCAATCGGAACTTTCAAAACCTCATAGATTTCCAGGAATTCAAGGCGAAAACTTTATCCAGTACATTTACCGCTTAATATGAGATTTGATACGTACAGATTTGACACTTTCACTTTTATTTCCCCAGCACTGCAAAACACGACAACTGCCAAACGGCAGGATGTCTGAAAAAAACACGACAACTGCCAAACGGCAGGGTGTCTGAAAGAAGAGCTGCGTGCTGCAGAGCCAATTCCGTGTCACTTGTGATGCGCGTTGCCATCTTCAACACTTATCAACCTGAGGTTTTGCAAGATCTCCTGATTAGAATCACGCTTCACATTGCTTCACATTGCTTCACATTGCTTCACATTGCTTCACATTGCCATTGCTTCACATTGCTTCACATTGCTTCACATTGCTTCACATTGCTTCACATTGCTTCACATTGCTTCACATTGCTTCACCATCTTCACCATCGTCATGATTTTCATGATCTTTTCATGATCTTTATGCGATCAGCTCTTGTGTGAGCACTGATTTAGGCTGGCGCAAGGTGAACTTGGTCGAAGGGTAGGGAACTCGGGGGGTTTCTCAAGTCGGAGTGTTGGATGATTTGGATGACCTTCCAGAATATTCTTCCCGGTGCAACAAATATACAAACAAATACAAACAAATACAAGCTGGGCAAAGCTGGGTGCATCCAGTTGAACTCTGTTGAACTCAGAAGCAGTTGGCCTCGAGCTAAGATCACCTCACCGAATCCGTGGGTCGGCGCAGTGGTCGTTGCTGATGGCCAAGTGATTGGACAAGGCTTCCACAAGTGATGCTGGCCAGTTATCCTGCACTTTTCCTGCACAGAACCCTTAAATGGTTGTAAATTATGGTAACTTGAACTAGATTGAGAAAGATCCGATATCTGAAAAAATCTGAAACTTTGAACGGGAGAGTCTAAGAAACGTGTCAAAGCATCTTCAGAGCATTGCAGAGCTGTCTTGATAAAACTTGAGCGTTCGTGCCAGGGGTCCAGGTTCCCCGCATGCAGAAGTCGAAGCCTTCAAAGATGCCGAGGCAGGATTTTGTCTGATTCCGAGAGCATTCCAGCTTCAGATGCTGGAAAAAACAGAACATGTCTCATGATCTTTGTGGACAGTAGCAGCTGGCTGTGAGCAAGTAGCTAGTGGTGCTTCATGGTGATTTCATGGTGACTTCATGGTGTCATGGTCGGTTGATTTGGAAGTCTGGATGCCGTGAGGCGAAAGGCGTCACAGACTTCAGGAATGCGACGATTTACACCACCTTGGAGCCATGTCATCGGGGTCCAGGGAAGTACCACCCTGAGTGGTTCGACGCGTCAAGTGATGTCAAGTGTCGCATCATGGCGCATGGCGCATCATGGCGCCGAGGCGGACACCACCCTGTGATGAGCTGGTGGTGGCCAAAAAGGTCAAGCGTTGTGTCCGAGCCACAGGGATTCCATGGCATTCCTGACGCAAGTGGTGTGTGTTGTATGTGTTGTATGTGTTGTGTCGCTGACACAAAGGCACGCATTCAACTGATAGATTCTTTTATCTTTTGTCAGAAGCTATCAGTTGAATATGTGTCTTTGTGTCAAAGGCCTAGGTGTTGGTGGACTTTTCAGAGAGAATTTTGGGATACTCATGAGTCACATGTGCCATGGTCAAGACGTGGGTAGGAGGGTGGTGCCCTACCGACTTAGCCATGGAGTTCTCACATGGACCTTTGACCCAGGTTGTGAAGTAAATCTGTCCATCTCCAACCGTGTGCCCTTGCCACTACCGGGTTTCTTGTATCTTGACGGATTTGACTGTGGTCTCGATGAGTGTCTTACTTGTTGTCTTGGCTTGCCGTGTTGGCTCTTGCCATTTCCTGGTGAGAGATAGAGTTCGGTCGCTTAGCTTGACACATGGACGTTGCCCACATGATATCGCTGATAGGTACTTGTTGAAGACCTCCCTTGGTTACTAAACTCGTGCAGTTGATCTGACTGGCCTTCGGGTGTTTGCTTTGGGATCTTCAAAGGTTCTGTTGCCTGACCCTGTGGATGCTTCTCATCTCTAGGTGAAATCTCAATTCCGTAGCTTGGGACTGACGTCAGGTCGCTGCCCACATGACATCGCAGATAGTTACCTCTTGAAGATGACACCCGAACTATGGAGTGGATTGACATCCGTTGTTTGCTTGCAGACATTTGTCCTTGCCAGGTGTTTTGATGCTTTGACAGATGGTGGAAGTGTTATACCAACACCTGAATGCGGGAACCCAAGCCCCTATGGCAGGGTGTGTGTGTGTACCATCTGAACAGATGTAAAACTTCTGATTGGTTTTCACTAATTTGCAGGGGGGTGCAGAGCACAGTGGAGACTGCACCCAACGAAGCTATCCACTTGTGCTGGAAGCAGAGTCTGATCAACTCTGTGTACCTGCAAAATTTGGTTTCAACTGTTGATCAAGCTGTTACACTGCGTTGTTTCGAATCTACACGGTTGCCACAATCTGTATTGCATGCATCAGAACCTTCCTCAGATTTTCGCCGAAACCATATCGCCGACAGTATTATGTTTTTTGACTTATTTTCGCCGAGACCCTGTCGCCGACGAACTATGGGTTATTTTGGGAAACAATCGCCGAAACATTATTTTGGATTTCCACATGCTGGTCAAAACTCTATGGAATCTGGTTATGACTACGTTTGACAATTTCGGATGCCCTACATCGTTTGCGAGAAGTACCTCATGTGGCTCTTTTATTCATCAAATAATCTAGGCTGGTTTGCATGTTTCAGGATTCAGTTCCTGCCGGATCATATAATGATCCATTCTTGTCTAGTGTGATTTCCATGGTGGCTCCGACATGGTGCCATGGAGCCAATTGAGGCAACCCTTTTCAGGGTGAGTGATGACTGTCCGGACTACCGAATTTACGAATTTTAAGTTGGTAATTCATCTAAGTAAACTGCAACAGCCGGCCATACTGTTTTTCCTGCCTTTTGAGTTTGTCCCGCTGATCTTGCGGTCCCAGGGATTCCTCGCCGATGCGTTTCTTCAACTGTGCAGCCGTTCTGAACTGCCAGAAACCTCCGTTTTTGCAGCAACTTTTGCAGCGTCATATTGCATTATTTCACGACCTATGATCAGGCAGGCACACGACTTTCAGGTGTGGTATTCTTTCCTTTTGGTTCTCTGGTGAGGTGAAACATATTGTGCATCTAATTCGTTGGAACTTGAAAGCTGTTTTATGCCATTGCGGCACGACTTGACCACGGTCCCGGTGCAGGGAATAATTGCACGATTTTGTAGGTAGTTAGGGACTGAATCCTGTATGTGAAACTTTTTACAATTGTCCACTTTTGTTTTGACCTACTGAAGCGATGCATCCGTGGAACACTCCAACATCATGGCCTGCTCCACCACAGCCTTCGAACCCATCTTCGACGTGGCCGCAATCGACACCGAGTGCACATTTATTTGGACATCCCTCGGCTTTGCATCCTACATGGTCATCCTCCGCTTCGCTCATGCCGTCTACATCCGCCCCAACATCGTTGCCGTTCACTTCATTGACTTCGGCTCCTGAACCAACTATGGTACACACCGCTCCGTCGACTTTTCCATCTCCTATGGCACCTACCGCTCCACCCGCGTGGCCTTCCACTTCGGCTCCATCCCCTACATCGACTACACCACCTACATCGACTATGACACCGACTCCTTTGCCCAGTTCTCCATACCCACCTCACCACATTCAACCTCCATTACAGATGGACGCATCGACGATCCCTCCAAATGAGCCTTCACCACGGCCCCCAGCAGTCAAAGCAGCTCCCAGGCATCGCTCTGACAAAAGACCGGATCGACCGCGCAGACCAGCTCCGAAAACCCCTCCTCACGCTACACCATCGACACCTCAGACAGCACCGACTTCATCCGTTCCACCTGAACTTGCATCCCTGGGTTCCACCGCACAACAACTGGCCGAATCTGTTCGACTTATCCAAGCTCAGCAACTATTACTCATGGATTCTCAACGGGCACAAGAACAACGTCAACTCCTTCTTCAACAAGATGAACATCCACCGAATCCTACACCACAGATACCGCCACCTACACCTACACCACCACTGATCGCCACGCCTCCACCTGCACCAAAGGCCAGACCCACCGAACCGGACGTTCAGGACCATCGCATTGTCCCAGCTCCAACCATTGCTCCTCCTCACCAACCACACGGTCCACCACCACCAACACGCCGACCACGATCCCGAACTCCAAGATCACGTTCCCATCGACCTTCTGTACATTCCTATCGCCTTCGCCATTCTCCTCCACGTGCAGAGCGACCTCGTTCTCCTCTCCCTCGTCATCGATCATCTACGAAACCCGACAAGAGCCGCAGAACACCATCTCCATACAGACGACGCTCACCACCACGACGCCGCTCTCCTGTGGTCCCTCGACGTCACCGCTCCCATCCACGCCCACGCTCCGCGACACCACGTCACCGATCCCGAGGCCGTGAAGTCATACTTCGACCTGCTGCAAACCCATCCAATCCGAACTACATTCCTACTCCTGATGCTGATGACACCTGGGGTACATGGAACGAAAGCCACTACAACGACGCCTACGACCACCACACTGCTCGACCCAATTCTCCTACTGATCCACCACCATCGGAACCACAAACCAACCCACCAACCCACACTTCAGCACCACTCGGCGCGGTGTCCTTCCGAGTTCCGGACGGCGACAGTGAAAATTCTGAGGTTGCTGATACCATTTCGCTCACCAAGTTTGACACGAATGACATCGACCTCGATGAAATGGTGGCGGCGGCCAATGACCCCCATAGAGTTCGATGCCTGACCGAGCTTGGCCCCGATCATGTTGTTCCTCTACGCCAATCATTGACCCCGGCTATCTTGCAGCTCTTCAACCAGTTTGTGGACGCGATGTTCGAACAGTTGGCTAAACCATACCGCACCGTCAACAACCATCGTATTTGGATCAAAGCCAGCCAAGCCACCGTCAGGAATATTGCCAGGGCCTTTGCACAATCCGACTTACTGGACATCGAACTTGCACAGCAAACACAAGCCTTCTATATTGAGCCAGAGAACTTGCTGACCATCACGGTTCCCACAGGATTGAAGAAGAAACCAATCTACCGTGGCGAACACATGGGCACCTACCTGATCTACCACAAGACAAGTTGGGAATCAGTTGCCAAAATTCTTGCTGAAGACTGCATCCGCCCGGCAACTTGGACAAAAAACGAAGCCGGTATACCGACCCAATACCCGTGTTACGGGTTCTTCGGAATGTCCTCTGAGATCGCAGACACCGACAACCTACCCGGCTATGCTGTCAGGATTTGTACCTCTCAGCTTTACAAAATAGGCAAAGGACAAAACCCATCAGGCCTGCTGGCCATATGCCGCTCACCCAAATGCATCCGTGCCCTAGCTGGAGGAAATGACCAAATCCAACGCTTGTGCAACCTTGCGGGCATCGCCAAGGGCAAAGACAATGCAACGGCTATGAACTCAAGCGCTGCATCTATATGCTACGTCGCCTCCACTCACCAGGTTTTCCCGGGCTTGATCACACACCAGACTGCGGAGACCAATGCACCTTCGGAACCTCCTGATGATTCTGCACGTCCAGTACGACCTGACCCTTCTGCCGACGCCCCAGAACCTTCGGAGCCGGCCCCGGACGACTCTCACAATACACCGAGCCACCGCGAGACCGCTACCTCTGGCTCCTGGGACTATGCTCGCCGATCTTGGCATGACAATGCTGCTTGGGACAATTCCACCTACAGCCGCCGAGATCGCCGATCCTCATACTATGACGACCATTCTCGCGACCAGCACCATGAAGACCGACCTCGTTCTCGACATTCGACCCACCACTCCAAATCTCGTTGGTGAATTCTTTACCCTTGAGGAGTACCAGAACAAGTATCGACTATTCTACGTCGGCGATCCAGTGAGCCTAGTGGCCCTGCCCGATTATTTTGGAGTAACAATGCTTCTCCCGACATTCGGTATTGCTGCCACTTCTTCCTCAAAAGGTTTGTGACTCGCTGCATGCTCATATTGTGGATCCTTGCGCAAGATTCGTTTTCACCTTATGTTTCACACACTGGAACCTCGTATTATGTTTCACTTTTTCACTCGCACACTATCCTTGTCTCACCCTGACATTTCTCGCAGCTTTCATTCGGCAGTTCGAGCGCATTTTGACCTATTGTCTCGTGACCCTCTCTACATCATGGCGTCCCAGGACCTGATCTCCCAATACAGCGCGGATATGAATGGAATTCCTCCTTCCCAGCCGGATCGCTCGCGCACACCACCTCGTCATCCACATGGTTGGCACCAAGCAGTACCGGCGTTCCGTGGCCCGATGCACTATGCCATGACGACCCATCGACCCTTTTGGAACCCATCCGGAATACCGCCT